TGACAACAAACGCGTAACCTTAACAACCAACCCTTATCCTTAACAACAAATATTCTAATTAGTTGTGAAATTAACCTTGACAACAAACCCGTAACCTTGACAACAAACGCGTAACCTTAACAACCAACCCTTATCCTTAACAACGAATATTCTAATTAGTTGTGAAATTAACCTTGACAACAAGCCCGTAACATTGACAACAAATGCGTAACATTAACAACCAATCATTATCCTTAACAACGAATATTCTAATTAGTTGTGAAATTAACCTTGACAACAAACCCGTAACCTTGACAACAAACGCGTAACCTTAACAACAAAAGTGTAATCTTAACAACCAAAATATATATACATATAAATCCCAACGTGTAACCTTAACAACAAACACGTAACCTTAACAACAAATCCGTAACCTTAACAACCGACCACTAATCTTAACAACCGACGACAAACCTTAACAAAACACAATAGGAGACAAATAATCAAACTTCAGGCTTAACATAGATTCTATTTATGCCATAAAGGAAAACATATCTCAATACTAAAACCTCACACACGCATAAATTAATTCGCATCCATCAAAGAACACCAACAACAAACTACAACCCACAATCAAAGATACTCTTTTTTTATTCCCACATACAATAACACTATTATTTAGTAAAAACAACCTGAAGCAAAGAAACAAGACAAATGCTACCTAAGTGGTGAGGATGGGGGGCATGTAATCAGACTTGGTTCAAATAACACGAGCCTTTGTATCGGGGAAAAACTCCGTCCTTGGGAGCTCTGTAACAACTCCTTCACTGCTTACTCCAATGGGATAGCTAAGTAAATGTCCAGGGAGATCGCGTTCCTGAGAGTAGAGATCCCAGTATTTGTCAGCGATACGCTTCACTTTCTGTACAAACTCGACGCTCTCTAGATGGAGGAAGAAATCAGATCGTCAATGCCGGGGAGACGGACTGCTCGATGATGGCGACGTTGATGTCGGGGTTCTTGGAGAGCTCGTAGGCGCAGGAGAGGCCGACGGATTCGCCGCCACCGCCACCGCCGCCGCCGCCGACGGTGTTAGCGTAGGTGATTATGTCGGACATGTAGCGGCGGGTCATCTCGCGGGAGACGATGGATTCTTTGATGGGGCGGAAGCAGATGGAGGAGAGGTCGTAGGATGTGGAGATTTGGGGGCGGAGGATGACAATGATAGGGAGGAGAAAGATTGGGTTTTGAAGGCGGAGATGAGCTTGAGGCCATGGAAGGAGGAGAAAGAGAGGAGGTTGCGGTGGTTAGGTTTGGAGAGGAAGGAGGATGTGACAATGGAGGGTATTATGGTCTTCACGTATCTTAATTTCTTGGGTTTTGTGTTTTGGGGGCTCAGAGAACACAGAGTTTACTTTTGGGGGTAAAACACACGTTGAAAAAGTCTTGGGAGGGGGAAGCTTGTTTTCATTAGTTTTGGGGGCTGGAAGCATTTTTCCCTATTCTATATTAGACCATCATTCATCGTATCCTGAAGTAGACCTGTAAATCCATTTAAGTTGTTGCGAATAAGACCCCTAGATCTATTAAGATGTCTTTATTGAGACCTCTAAATCTATTAAGTTGTTCAAAATAAGATCCCATTTCAAACAAATATTGGGGGTCTAATTTAGAAATATGAAGATTTTATGGTCTAAAATGATAAAAAACCCTTTTTAAGTATATTTTTTTCCCCATGCCTTTTAATAGTCCTGTTGCAATGTATCTTTTGATAGTAACATTCCTACATGATATGTTATGGCAGACAGATATTGCATGAATAGCATATTCATTTATTGATGATATTTTTCTGTACCTTTTTCCCCCCTGTTGTTTTTACCTCTCATCTCAGATATAATCAGTTCATGTGAGAGATTCTAATCCTGTTTTGTCATTTATCAAAGGTCTGGAAAAGTTTGTGAGAAAAGGTGGGAAGAAATGGCAAGACATATTGGTGGATACCCGGGAAAGGCCATTCATCGAACAGCTTGATGTTCTCAACAAGCGGTATTGTGGAGATATGCTCGGATATAGATTTGAGCAACACAAGAAGAAGAAGGGAGAGGCGGAGAAAGCGAAAGAGAAAGGGGAGAGTGACAGAGTGATTTTCCTTTGTTATAATTTAGGTATAACCTTTGAAATGTATTCTCGTTGTGTCAACCTGGACCTCTGGTTGATGCATCTGAGTCTAAAGAGCAAGCCAGAAGACCGGATTGTTTTTAGATCATTGTTGGCTCTTGTTTCCGTTGCGTCGCCAATATTTTATTTAGGAGGGGTGTTCTGTTAATTTTTCACTTACAGTTGTAACTGGAACTACAACAATGCCGCGGTAGTTGTAACCCTTGCGGCAATCGAATGTTAGTTACCACCGTCAGGGCTAAAGAAAAATCGTATGTTAGTTACCACCGTCAGGGCTAAAGAAAAGCCTATTGGTACAAAATGCGTTTATCCCCTATGGTTCTAAAAGCCGCTCCCATAGTTTAAACCATTTGGGCAAGTACTTTTATTAATTTAATTTTTAAAAAGAATGAAAATATGTTAAAAACACGCCCCAATGGTCAGAACTAGAGGTAACTTCTTTGGTTCGGACATAACTTGAATATGATACTTATCATATTTATATCTACTTCCTATCTTGAGTACAGATAAAGATATGGATATACCTCGGTAAAAAAAATTTATATTCATATCTGTTAAAATTGAATATGGGTACAGATATACATGCGGAAATATAAACGGATATGCATGCGGATACAAAACAGATATGAGAAAATTAGATAGTATTCAGAAAAATATAGTTCATGTGATACAAAAGAGTTAGTTAATATGTTTTAGTTAATATGTTAATTATAACTGAAAAAGCTAAGATTAGACATTTTGATCATCAAAATTAACCACAAATTCATAATCTAAAAATTAAAACTACCATAAGAGTATGACTAATATGTATTCGGATATTTCTGATATGGATCCGGATATCTCACTAGAAAACCATATCCGTAACCATATCCCATTAGTTATAGCTTTGAGTAATCATATCTGTATCCTTTAAGTATCCGTTAATGGATACAGTTACAGTTATTTCCTTGGATACGGATACGGTTTGGCACCCCTAGTTAGAACTGTTGGAGCCAATTGATACCAAGTAAAGTTTAATACAATCTCATAAGCATAAACAAAAGAAAATAGTTAATTGACAAGAAATTCATAGTATCTCGATTAATTAAGGGCTTTTATGATAAAATTTTTATAAAGATTGTTTGGGTTGAAATGCCATTTACTTATTAAGCTATGATCTAACTTATCTATTTCCACTGGGTTCAGTACAACGGCTGTGTGAATATGCTCCCTGCTCAACGGTCTTAAGTGGACCTTAAATTTCAAGATTTTGAGATTTTTGTTAAAAGGATTGAGTCCTCCTGTATGGGTGACATGGACTATTGGATGTACGAGTATCCTGACTAAGATTCTCCTGTCATGAAAGCAAAAATTGTAAAGTATCCATACAAAGTGTTAGTGGTAAAAGGTAAAATTATCGCGTTTCGAAATTGGTCTTCTACCTAGTGCATTACACTGTTGAAAAGAACTTTTTGGTGATAAAGTGTGGTGTGACCCACTCAAAAACTTCTTTTTTTCGCCTTTTTCACTCATCACAAAAGCTCAATATTTCTGAGTGGAAAGATCCGGTAGTAGATCCAACCATCGATGGCTAACATGGGATACTAGTCGATTACTGTACATGATTTTCTCATGATGATTGATGAGCAGAGAAATTCTCCACTGAAAAAAAAAATCGACAGGATGATCATTAAAACGGTTTACTCTTACATGATTTTCTCACAATTGATTGTGAGATCATGCAAAGAATATCTCTACTGAAGGAAAAAGAAGATAAATTAGTGGAGAAAATTATGCGTTAGGCTTTTTTTTTTAAATCTGATAGGTTTAGATTTAGCTTGCAATTTTTATTAATGGAAGAGGAATCCAGTCTCAATAATTCACTAGGTAAAAATCCAGCCTACAAACTTTTTGAACTCTGGGGATCTAAAAAGCAAAACAAAAGGCAGTCGCAGTCTAACCCTGCTGATATCAATTATGGAAACAACAAACTTTAAGCATCTACTATAAGTTTAATTAGGTAGGATGTCTTAATCAATGCCAGAGCATGACAAGTAGAAAAGCTGCAGCTTCCTTCACTGATAAAGCCAAAGAGAACTCAGATGAGAGTCCTCCACAAACACAAAATGTCCTTAGCAGTAGCCGTCATCTTCTCAATTCTCTCTCTGCAATGTCTAGAGTCTATAGCCACTGAACCATCGGAGCACAGTCCGGCTCACAACGACCATGGAACTGCAGCAATCTCTCCAGCAATGGTGGCCTTCTTCGGTGGCAACAGAGCTCCAGTAGCCAAGAACTCGACTACACCAAAGTGGGCCCTACCATCACCGCGGCTCCACCAGCAAAAGGTTAACGGGTGGGTGAGGACAATGATTCTGGTGGCCTGTGTGGTGAGCGGAGTAGCAGGATTCGGATTGCTTGTGGGTTTGGTGCCGACTCTGGTGGTCCATTTTCGAAAAAGACCAAAGGAGATCCAGGTCGGAGCAGTTTGAATGAAGAAAGGATTAGTGGCAGATAGACCCTCCTGTACTAGTCATTGTTTTGAACTTATTGGGTAGTTTCATTGTTGCAGGTAGTTCATCTGGGTTAAATTTTTGGCTCCTTTACCCTTAAATAGACTCACTAATCTTGCGCTGGGGCAATAACTCCTAAACCTTCACCAAGAGTAAAAGAGCCAAAAAAATTTAACCCAGAGAGCCCATCAGCAATAATGAAACTATAGGGGTAGTAGTTTCAAAACAACAATATCATAAATGGTCCTTATTTGTTGTCAGTGCAATTATTGTTGTGCTTCAATACTGATAGGAACTGCACTTGAAAGTAACGCATGCATGATGGTGGGCCACCTCGGCAAGCTTGCCCTCTAAAAGCCGAAATAATGTTTAATTTACCATTCACTAACTGTATAATTCCAAAAAAAATTTACTCGAGAACCATATGGTAAATGGAACAAAGAAAAAGAAACAACTCAAACATGGGCTACTAAGGAAAGTATAACTTGCTAGATCCTCAGTGATTCCTTTTGAATCCAGAACTTTTGGTCTAAGAAACAAGCAACAAGCTGTACAGCTTTCAACAAGTTGCCATAACTCTCCAGATCTCGTTTTTTGCGATGTTTTTTTTTTATGGTCAATTCATCCAACTTTCTTTTGCTAGAGCTATATGCAACTGTTTCTGCAAACCATACAAGCAAAATATCTTTCAGCTATCATTTTATCACCTAAAATAGTAGAAGGAAGAGCCATATGATAAAATATTATAAATAATTTGTGGCAAATGATATGTATTGTATGACTAAAATAAAATACATGTTAAAAGGGTAATTACGAAGAGCAGTTACCTTCTCCTTCCTCTGACTTTGTCGCTGATGCCCTTTGTCTTTTTTCACTTGAGCAACTCGTTCCTGAGAAATCAAAAATATATATCATTAAGGCTAGAGAATTTTAACAGTTTTATTGATCTTTTAAATGTTGGCCAAGAGCAACTTTAAAGAGGCACCAACAGAAGAGGGAACACATTTTAGCACCAGTGGAAACATTGTCATCAATTCATTATTTAGAATAGCTGAGGCAGTTACTTGTCATAGAAACCGAAACACTAGTTGATAGTTAAGAAGATCAACTTGTGTGTTATTACAATTTAAATTTGAGCGATAAGGGTCAAGAATCATCCTGCACTAGAAAAGGGTGTGTGGAGAAGAGGATAAATAAAATTAATTATTAAGTGTACAATCTTTAGGAAAAATAAAGAAACATGACCAACCTCCATTCAGAGTAAGTATTGAAGATGCAGTACTTAGGAATAATCATTTTTGTTATTTATCAAGTATCATTGATCATATGGTTATAATTAGGTACCTGAGCTAGAGCAGCAGTTCGAAGGTGCCTTCCTGCATGAATTTCTTGGTCCTCAATCTCACCATCACTGCTAAGCATCAACTTTAACCACACATCATCAAGTAGCTTCTTTGATTGAGTATGTCTCTACAAACCAAAGAAGATGAAATGCTAAATTTAAACAATGTATCATATGTTTGAGGCAATGAATGAAAGCATTTCGTATGAGTATTCATTAGAGGTGCATGCGGTCCAGATATGGCTCAGATATGATACTTACCATATATATATTCACTTATCAATCACGAATATGGATACATATATGTCTCGGTATGAAAATTTCATATCAATATCCGCTAAAATCGGGTACATATATGGATTTGCATGTGAATATATAAGCGGATAGACATGTGGACACAATTTATATTGGAATATATATATGGTTTATATGATATTAGAGAGTTCATTAATATGTTTGTAATACCTGAAAAGCTAATATGAGATATCTGGATCATCAAAATTAACCACAAATCCATTAATCAAAGGATTAAACTGTTGCAACAGTATGACCAATTTATATTTCGATATTTCAGATCTACACAACCATATCTGTGATTATATCCCATTGGTTATAGATTTTAGTAATCATATCCAACTATCCATATCCTAAAGAATACAAATTCGGATATTTCCTTGAATATGGATATTTTGTATGCACCCCAAGTATTCATCCAATTAATTGTAGTACTCCTGTGCCCTAAAGCAAAATAAACAATAAAACTCTTTTAGTTTTTTTTTCATGAGTTTATCGACACAAGGAACTAATTTGAAATAAAGGCTGATACTCTTCCATTAAGCTCTGTACGATTGTTCTTCCGTTATTTTTGTGATTGATTATAGTCGGGTTGTTTTCTTTTTGTTTTGCCACAGTTTAGCTTAGTCTTCTTTTGTTTGTGGCTTTTTTTACTTTCTTTATTGTCATCTTGTGAGTTGTTTCGTTAAACTCTTATCAACGGCACACAAGGGTAGTCACTCACCATTTTACTAAAAAAAGGAGCTAATTTGAAATAACTAATAGGAAACTAGAGATGCAAAGGACCAAATATCAACAAAACCCTCCTTCATTTTCTATAGGTTTAATTGCACTTAAATACCCTACAGTTTCCCTACTTTACACTTATATACCCTCAATTGTTTTTGCAGCACTTTTATACTCTAAAGTGTTTAAAACTTGCACTTATATGCCCTTACTTCTTTTGGCAGTAATAATATACCCTAAAGTTTTTAAAACTTACACTTAAATACCTTAAAGTAAAATGCACTTAAATACCCCTCAGCTATGCAAACTTGAGGGTATTTAAGTGTAAGTCCCATAAATTTAAGAGTACTTAAGTGCAACTTTTAAGAACTATAGGGTATTTAAGTGCAAGTTTTAAAACCTTTAGGGTATATAAGTGCTGCAAAAAGATGAGGGTAGATAAGTCCAAATTTTATAAACTCAAGGGTATATAAGCGCTGCCAAAAACAAGTGAGGGTATATAAGTGAAAAGTAGGAGAAACTATAGGGTATTTGGGTGAAATTAAGCCTTTCCCCATAACAAGATATAAGTTAGTGCTCTTTTGGGACCAGATTTAATAATTAATACAAATTCAAAGATCATCGAAGTCCCAACGCTAAGAATGAAGAGATCACAAAATTAGCTAATCATTTTGACAGGTAGAATTTGCAGACATTCCTTAGTTACCGATCACCCCTGTCCCTTTCAATTTGATGTACGTGTTTGCTCTTCATTGTCGTGTACTCACACTATCACCTTAACTCTTAAGCAAAAAACTTGTCCATAAATAAGCAACACCAACAACGTTCAGAAAAGAGTGCAACTCTATTACAAAATCTTTCTTTCTCTTTGTCATGCTCCCTCACTCTGAACTCAAACATCAACAAAACAGAGCTAGTCTTATTTAATCTCCGTCTTCTCTAATCTCCTCCTCATCTGCATACTCTTGCCAGATTGCTAGTAGTCTAAAAATTAAAAAGGGTCTCAACCCAAATCAAGAGTTGTCACAGGTATACATAATACAAATCATCAATTTTCTCTGTAGTTCAGTAGGAACTGTTTGGTTTGCATTCAACAGAAAGTACTACAGGTAGTTGTTGTAGTTGTTTGATTCAGTTTTTAAATTTTACAATTTGAAATTATAATTCTAGTTGTCTGTGTTGTTTTCAAGTATCAGTTTGAACTTCTGCTAGGGGATTGATCGTAAAACAATTATGGACTGTACAATCATAGTGGTAGCTGTGTATTTCAATTCTAAAGTTTTGTCATTTACAATTAGTGTTGTAGTTGTACTTGTATCATTCAATTTTAAACTTGTGTGTTTATAGTTCCATTTGTACCTCTAGACGTCTGTTCTAGGCATCAAAGTTTTAGACTTCTGTCAATTAGAGTAATTTAAACTCAACTTTTAGTTAAAATTACTGAACGGTCCAAATATTTTCAGTCATATACAAACTGTAATTATAATCCTTACAGTTGCACCAAACCAATCCACCTTCATTGATCAAGGTAAAAGTTCTGTTACAGCCTCAGATTCGTCTGTAAATGTCTGCTCCTGAGGATTTTTATACAGATTGCAGTTCCTCGAATTCAAACTCTTCGATATATAGTTTTAATAGTGAAGAAAGTATGATAAATTTGATGAATGGTTATGAGAATGGTCTGATTTGGGGTCAGGATTCATTTGTCGATTTGGGGTCAGGATTCATTGGTTCAATGTGGCAGTTACTGGAATTGTTAGAATGGGATGATGGAGATTGATGCTTCAAATGAATCTCAACAGCTAATAAAAGTTCCTAGTAAAATTGTACTTGGTCTTACCCTAGTTTCTCATTTATGTGAATTTGTCTGTTGCCTACAATCTTATTGATGTATCAAGCATTTCTTAATTGCTTTGAGAAACACGTTACTTTAGGCACTGAACAGAGGCAAAACTCCCTAGAAACTGTAACTTCTTTCATTGCATTAAAGATGTTATACTTACATGAACAATATAAACAGAAAAAACAAATGTAGAATATCAAAAAATAATGGCACACTGAAAACTGCATGCCCCAAAATTATAGTAAGAAGTTGTACTTGTAAAACGAATTCACCTGAGGTCTCATAAGGCTTTTAAGCATCCTCTTCAATCTACACTTCGCTCATAGAAAGCCCCCTGCAGTTATAGAACGATGTGTCAAGTTTTGGAGCTGGGAAATTCCCGGCACTGCAAATGAGACCAATTTTGAAAAATTGGAAGGAAAAGGAAATCCTAAGCATGGCCTTCTATAGAAAATCTTATAGGGATCAAAGAGTCCCTTACCTAAGTTCAGAGTTGAGAGACTTGTAAAATTCTCCTACCTCCTTATATGATTTTCTACAGAGGACCCTCTATAGAATTTTTTTCCCCAAGTTGAATAGCAACATGCATATCTTTGTAACAGTTCCAATCACTCACCATATACTAATCTATCTATTCACAAAACGAGAATAGCATGAGCAGCAACTCGACCAGACTAACAGTTACTTAGCAATTTCCATCCTCCAAACTAAAACGGAAAGCCAAAATTTTGAAATGTTCTGATCCTGCCTCCTCTTCCAGCAGTCACAATCACCATCCCCCATGCAGACCGCCTTTTCAATTGCATCACCCCATTACTGAGATCAATGCTGCTGCTGAGACTGCTAGGGTCTGGTGGAGTAAGAAACTTCTCTTCAGGCCAAGTTGCTGTGATTCTATCACCAAAGGGGTTGATGCTAGTATTGAATGATGATGATGACAATGGTGAGCTGTCGTGAGAATTGCTCTGGGTTGTTTGAGTTTTTGTTGGCCAAGGAATAGCCACTGTAACATCCCGACAATGGAAATGTTCATAGGATTGGGTTACAGAGACTGCTCTGCTTCTGTTTGGTTGGGCATCAGAATCGTGTCTCCAAATGTAGACGTGAGAGTCCTCACTAGCACATACGATGTGTTTTCCATTTGTCGTCAAGGAGGCTGAAATTTGGCTGCTTGTGTTCCGAAACCCTGGAAAAATGAAACAAGAGGAGATCGCTATCTATCAACTCAATGCACTCAACAAGCACCTGTGTAGGATTTCATAGGTATCTCAGTGATTCTTTGAAAGGCATCACGCCAAATGTTGTGTCTCACATAATGGGAGCTAAACTAAGCAACTGCTGGCATAATACAAGGCAATGATAATAGTACATGCATTCATATTTTCTCTAGACATAAAATGGAATTAGGTGAATTCGAGTTGGCAGAAGTTGAAAAAGAAAAGAAGGTGAAGTGATTCCTCACAAACTGCCAATTCTTCTGTTAATATTGCAACAGTTATTTCTAGACTACTTTGCGGGAAAGTCGTAAGGGGTTTATGTAATCTGATCAATTAAGATGAACCCTCTCGTCCTAATAGGAGATTTGCTAACATGAAAGAGTAATGCTACAAGTATCCCATAATGTACTCATAGGATTAGTTTCTATCATCTGGATGTAAAAATAATGGAGAGAGAGACAAAGAGACCAATAAAACAGTCATTTTGCATATACCATTGGGAAATAAAAAAATTTTTAAACGAGTACTCTTAACTGATAGCATTTCTAAACATGAAATGTTAAGGGAGTGTTTGGCAACTGGAGTGTTTTTTCTGTTTCTGTTTCTTTTTTTCAAAAAATCTATGAAACATGTTTGGCAACTAGAGTGTTTTTTTGAGCTGACCATATACAAAACCTAAAAATCTAACGCTTATCTCAAAACACATTTTAGGTGTTTTGAGATTCTCGTGGCTTATTTATCCCCCCAAACCAACCGATCATCTTTCTCTCCCTCAACCCTAACACCATCGCCGCCACTCCAAGCCGCCCCCCCCCCTTTTCTCTCCCTCAACACTAACACCATCACCGTCACACCGAAATCGCCGCCCCCGACCCGTCGCCTCCAACCCGTCGATCACCACCCCCAACACGTCGCCCAGCCACCGATAAATATACTGTTCTTCCCCTGAAAATTTGAGAGGTAATTTTTTTATCTTTTCAATAAACAATATACTGTACACTCCATAAAAGGTTTTACTTTTTCACTTGATGGGTTTGAATTTTGCTAATCTCTATGTTCATGTAGATTGTTTGAGATTTCTTGGTTTTGTTTGTGGATTTGTCTGTATAATTTTTGGTCAATAATTTGTTTGAGTTTGTAGAGGAATAATTCTTATGTTTTGGTTCTAGAGTTACCACTTGTGTATGCGTTTAATTCGAGAGTAAACATATCAACATGAAATTTTACAGTATTTCTTACAAATTACAGAAACAAGAAAACCCAAATGGAGATTTTAACTATTTTTCATGCAATTATGGTTATTGTTTTTTTGGAACATAGGATTCTATTTCTTCGTAATTTTAGAAGTTACATAGTATGAGGTTTCATTCTATTGCTCTATATTTGGTCATAGAATTATAATTTTTGTATTTTGTTGTTAATTTTAGAGTAAACATGCCATATCGAAATTTCATGTATAATATTCCTTGAATTACATGAAAGAGAAAACCCAGAAGGAGATTCTTACTTGGATAAAATATGTAACTGGGTAGCTGCTGTTTCTAGGATTTAATTTTTTTCAATAACTTTTAGAGTTTATATCCAATATGGTCTAATTTCAATTGTTGTCTTTTCTTCGTGCAAGTTATATATACATGCATTCAATCAAATTTTAAAAAAAAAAATTGCTTATGCTCTATTTGTATGCCTTGTGCTTTATTTGATTTTAGTTATACTCTCTTATTTGATTAGCCTTTTTGGTTTCATGTTGTTGTGAATGTAATAGATGTCAAGTGAAAATCGTGATGTTAACGAAGCGGTGGAGATTTCCCCTTCAAAAGGATATGTTTTTTGGTCTGAAAATGTGGAGCTTTATTTCATAGACTTGATGGAGGAAGAAGTGAAAAAGGAAAATAGGCTTACAACTACATTTACTAGATCCTCTTGGAAATTCATGGAGCATGAGTTGAAAAAGAAGACATGGAGAGAATACACTCATGACCAAATGAAAAATAAGTTTAACCAATTGAGACAAAGATGGAGAAATTTAAAAATTATATTGACGGATACGACAATTGGGTATACTACGAGCACCGGTCAAATATCTGCAACGGAAGATGTGTGGACTAAGTTGTATGCAGTAATACTCATTGAATAATGCAATTTTTATTAGTTTTATTATGTGAGTTTGAATGCATTATTATTTTTTGTTTTACGTAAACGCACAAGTACGCAAGATATTTTAGAAGGGTTACAAAGGTTATGACAAGTTGTACATCATTTTTGGTGATACAACTGCTACTGGTGATCATGTTCATCCCTCTACTAAAAGTCCTACCATTAGTGAAGATGATAAGGAAGAAGAAGATGAAGATGAGGAAGATGTTGAGTCATCTCGAGCTAAGAAAAAGGCAAAAGTGGCAAACAAACGTGTAACGTTGAACCAGCAAATCCAATTAGCAATGGTTGAAGCTTTAACCTCGATGGGAGAAAACTCTAGGAAGAAAATGGAGTGGAGGGAGAGGAAAATGAGTTCGACTACTGCAGATAGTCATGTTAGTGGAAGGAGAGGAAGAAGCTCTGAGGAAGAACAAGGAATGGTTCAATGCATCACTGCACTTAGTGCTTTACCCGATGTTGACTCAACTCAGTTTTCCAAGGCCGCGCATATTTTGCATGATGATGCATCATGGAGAACCATGTTTTTAGCCATGCATAGCGAGAGAAAGAAGGATTGGGTGTTAAATCTACATTAATGTTGTTTATGTTTGTTTCGAAGAAATTTGTATTTGTTTATGTTTGTGTTTGTTTCTATTAGGCCAAGGACTTTGTGTGTGTTTCTATATGTTTGATTCTAGTAGGTCAAGGACTTTTGTGTGTATTTAAATTATGCTTGTGTTATAGTAGATTGAAGATTTTTGGGTGTATTTGTGTTAGTTTTTTAACCTATATATTTGTATTTCCATAACGTTGTTGGTATTACTTGTTCATGTTGTTAACATGTGTTTCATGCCTTATGTAAATTTTATTATGCAAGACTATATTTTCAATAGTGTTCAATTATAATTTTATTTGTTTTTTGTAGGTATGGATGGCAATACAGATACAGATGATTATCAACTATCATCAGACTTTGATTCAGATGAGGAGCAATTTCAAGTGTTATTAACCATTCATGCATTTATGAAGTTTAATGGATCTTTTATGGAGCAGCCTCGACCATAAAGGATTTCAAAATTATGTGGGCATGATTGGGTGATTGAGGTTCTAGGTGGTCACCCGGGTACTTGTTTTGACCTCTTCCGAATGAAAAAAGAAGCATTTATTAACCTTTGTGAAGAGTTAAAGAGAATTGGAAAATTAAAACATTCTAGAAATGTGACGATTCAAGAACAAATAGCAATCTTTTTATTTGTGCTTTCTCCTAATGAACGCCAATGTATGGCCGCGGATCGTTTTCAGCACTCATTAGAGACCATCTCTACATATTTTAAGAAGGTCCTTTATGCAATTTGCTCTCTAACCAAATATGTGATCGTCCCTCCATCATACGATGCAACTCCAACAGAGATATCATATATCACAAAGTATTATCCTTATTTCAAGGTATGTATATATGCCTTCCTACATTAAGTATGTGAATTTTTTTACTATCATTCTAATAGTAATATATATACATATATATAACATGACAGAATTGTGTAAGGGTATAGATGGAACTCATGTTTCAGGTTGTGTGCCGCAAGATAGTCATGTTCCATATCGTGGAAAGAAAATTGTACCGACAATGAATATGATGTGTGCTTGTTCTTTTGATATGCGGTTCACATTTGTTATGCGTGGATGGGAAGGAAGTGCAAATGATTCAAGAATTTCCTTAGAGTGCATTAGCAATCCCGCAAATAAATTCCCTATGCCCCCTGCAAGAAAGTATTATTTGGTTGACTCTGGATATACCAATATGTCGGGTTTTCTTTCACCGTATCGTGGAGAGCGATATCATTTGAATGATTATTGACGGCATAATCTTCCACCGCAAGGTACTAGAGAACTATTCAATTATTTGCATTCGTCATTAAGGAATGTTATAGAACGATGCTTTGGGGTATTGAAAAAAAGATTTTTAATTTTAAGAGATATGCCTTCATATAGTTTGAGAAAACAAAAATATATAGCATTAGCATGTTGAGTTATTCACAACGTGATTCGAATGCATGATTCTAGAGATCCATTATTTATCGAGTTTGAAAATAAAGATGTGGAGCTTGAAGAAGATGACATGACTGCACAAGAACAACAAACCATCTCGGTCAATCAGCCTAGAGCACCTTCGTGAGATGTCAAGGTTTCGAGATCGTTTGGCCCAATGGATGTGGAACGATCGTGGTGGGTAATATCGGGATGTGTTTTAAAATTAATGTATATTATATTAAATGTCACTAAAATACATTTTGAGCCTAATGCATATATATATTATCAATGTCATTAAAACATGTTGAACAATTATTCATCATTGTTTCATGATGGTGGTGACGTATTAGAATTTTTTTACTATCATTTGAATTATAGGCATTGAAAAAATCTCTCGAATGGTGGTTGACCGCCACCGCCCG